CTCTACTCTACTCTACTCTACTCTACTCTACTCTACTCTACTCTACTCTACTCTACTCTACTCTACTCTACTCTACTCTACTCTACTCTACTCTACCCTACTCTACTCTACTACACTACACTCTACTCTACTCTACTCTACTCTACTCTACTCTACGACACTCTACGACACTCTAAGACACTCTACGACACTATATATATATAGCTCTGTTTGACTATATATATACATCCACGTCATCTTTACATGTATGTCCTCTCTGTCGTCGAGGACAGACTCATTCTTGAGCCTTTTCTTATCCTCTTGTGCCTTCATCTTCACTCCACACTCCATACTTTCCCTTGCTTTCCCTTTATCGTTCTTTGTTTGTCTGCTCTCCATCTCTCCTCTGTGTTTATCCCCTCCCCCTTCACTCTGCCTCTTTCTCACAGCGTACAAGTGGGCTGTTATGGCACACGGGGGGGGCAGCTCAATTTCATCAACGTGTTTATCCCCTCCCCCTTCACTCTGTGTTTATCCCCTCCCCCTTCACTCAATTTCATCAACGTGGCGAGCCTTGTACGTGAGAGGCACGGTGAAAGGGGAGTCAAAAGAAGAATGTGAAAAATGAATGGTTTCACTGTGCCCTTCATGGTTGTCCTGTTTTTTTGTTTTTTTTTGTTTTTTTTTTGCCGTTTGTTTCGCAAAAATTGCGCTCTTTTAGTTCGTAGTTATGTGACAATATATATATATATATATAAAGGGGTATTTGCGAATATGAGTACGAACTGACTCTTATTCATTCTCTTCTTTGTGTACAGGGCGAGATCCGGAAGAAGCACTCTGCTGCTCTGATACCTGCATCAGTTTTGGCACGAGTACGAGAGCTCGCAGCACTGCATAGTCAGAAAGCAAATGCCAGTGTCACAAGTGGAGCATGTGGAACCCCAACACCTGCACAGAAGAGATGACATGGAGATGGATACAGAACCCAAGTGAGTCTGAGAAGCAACAGCACACGATGCTACTCACCCTCGAGAGATTGGTGAAGGACGCTGGGTTACCTACTGTGAGGGCATACTCACACTCGTACCTTTTCAACTCAACTCTGGATGAGATTGCTGTCAGGTTCATCCAGGTTCAACTGTAATTGCGGTCAGATACATTTAGAAAAGTGCTAGTGTGAGTATGCCCTGAGAAGGATGTTTCCTTGCTTTGTTTGGGAGGCAGGCAGGCAGGCAGGCAGGCTGGCAGGCTGGCCAATCTAGAGTCTGAATGCCCCGTCCGCGGCATCCGGAATTTAGGAACACTGCTGAATCTGTTCCTCTGTGTGTGTGTGTGTGTGTGTGTGTGTGTGTGTGTGTGTGTGTGTGTGTGTGTGTGTGTGCAAGAGGGAGTGCACAGTGGGGAGGTAGGTTTGTGTGTTAATGCTGTTTAGGAGAGCTGGAGAGGGAGGTTTTGAGAGAGAGGCAAACAGATGTACAGATGAGGGAAGATTCTATGTATTGTAGGCGATGAAGAGCTAGAAAGAGAGATGGGCAATTGTGTGAGAGGAGTACCATGATCTGTATTATTATGCAAGTGCATGTGCTGGCGGGGCGAGGTAGGTAGCAGTGGTCACAAGAATCTTGTCTATAAGGTATATAGGTTTCAGGGATATGGTGGGTCTGACGTGACAACGTCAGAGATGTCAGACATCAGGATAGTTGGTGCTTTAGGCAGTAGGATATCCGCAGTAATGAGGATCGTTTTTGGAAGTGCGCTAGCTTGGGCGACATGGCAAGGGGACAGTCCTTTGTGAACTGTTTCAGGTGCAAAACATAATTGCGCTCGAGCAGTGGAAGAATAATGTGTGTAATAATGTGTACAACATGTCGTGCATCTTGAATAAGCATTTTGAGAGGATGATCCTGAACGATCTTCGTTTTCGGCGCCAGTGCATGCGTCGAGCACGTGAGGAAGAGCACGCGACATAGAACACGTGACAAAGAGCACGTGACGAAGAGCATGCGACAAAGAGCACGCGACAAAGAGCGCGCGACAAAGAGCACGCGACGAAGAGCATGCGACAAAGAGCACGCGGCAAAGAGCGCGCAACAAAGAGCACGCGACGAAGAGAAAGGGGCGGGCGCAGTGTCTTCAGGAGTTATATCATGGATGTCCTGGTAGTGGTTGAATGGACCAGGATGTTGGTGTACTCAGTGCGACGGAACGGCGGTGGAAGAGAAAGGTGGGAGCTCGAAGCTTGGAGGATATGGTGGAGTCGTGCTTGCCGTGCAGGCAGCAGTGTACAGGAGTTTTGTAGCTGAAGCTTGCTGCTGACTGTTGTACCTAGACAAATATAGAACTATACAATCAATTGAGCGGTGGCTAAATGTATATAGTCACTATTTGAAGCAACCGCCGTGAAGCCGTTTCAAGTTGTGTAAATAGACCTCGTGGCACGCTTGACCGCATGCCAGGGTTTCTTCCACTATCCTTATCGACACCCATTTGTAGAACCATCATTTTCTGCAGCCTCATT